CAAATACACGAATGCACACATTCTGTGGCCATGAATGACGTGACAGTGGCATGATGGCATGATGACATGACACTGACATACTCGTGTCACTGCAGACGGAACAAGAGTAGTTCACCTAGCTATTATTGGATCAGTCCAGCGGGACCAAAAACTAGGGGGCGTTCATGACAAGATGCTATTAAAACTAATGACATGACCGTCTATCCACTGAGGTTATAGAGATGTAGACCTATATAAGACCATACAAACGGGTTACTATTTAAATGTGTATAGAGAAATAATAGAAGAGGCAGGACCTAACACTATGATTATACTGTCTAATACATTTTTTTTACATTTATGAGAATAATAGACGGCCTTTAATATTTTAATTGTCTAGGGTAGCGAAATTAAGGTTGAATAAACTTAATTAGAAAGGGGTTCCATTAAAACAACTGCAAGGTTTTGAAAAGAAAAGTTTAGTTTATTAGCTGTTGGGTTAGATATGTAGTTAAGTACCTTTTAGGTTTGGAGTTACGCACCTTTTTAGCATTTGTTTATAGACGTTAAGCCATTCGCACGAGCAGACGATTAGTTACGTCCCCTAATCAAGACCTTTGAAACCGCAAACAAAATAAGAAGGATATCCGTGGACCATAGGATTAACAGTCCACATAGCTTCCAAAATGACCAGTCCAACATTATGAAGACATGTCACTAAATAAAAACAAGAATCTAGAGGCTTGAGAACATGTATTAAGAGCTTGGTTGGACACTGGTCACTGAATGGCGGTTTTACAGACTGCTTTATTAAATGCACTTGGAATTTGTTATGATTTCCAAGACTCTTTTATTTTTCTATTAAATACAACAAAAAAATCCGTGATTCCATAAAAGAACAGATCACAGAAAAGTTCATTGCACACAGATGTCTTGAGCTTGTTCAACTTTCCTAATCAACGAGTAGCGTTGGTACAGTCCGAGTACTATCTTTAATGTGCAGCTCAAACCCGAACACCATGCTATAGACAGGAAGTGAGACTAGCAGGAAACTTTCAAGAAATACTTTTCATCTTAGGTCCCCATCAACTTTGTACAGCAACTATTTATAGCAACACTTTTTTAGCGGCCCCCGAAAGAGGAAAAGACGTTATTAGTTTTGTGTGAAATGTCTGTCCCGTTTAGATCTCGTAAACAAGAAAAGATATCACAATATTTTAGACCATTCAAAGTTCTGATGCAACGGCTACGTTTTTCTTTTCTGAAAGGGAAAAATCTATTTTTTGAATCACTAATGAAAGCAGTTTTTTCATAAAAAATACACCACTTTTACAACTGCTAACTATTAAACACACAAACACTTGTGGCTCTTTATTAGGGGAAGCCAATATACACCATATTTATAACACATTTATGCAAACGGTTGTAGATTTTTTGTATACTAAGTACTATGTTTACACACAAACAAATGTTTACTTTTTTTTAAGAGAAAAAATCTATTTGGTATGCATTATAAGTTAGACATAATTTAAAACAAATAGTAATCTTGTAAATTGCATTTTCTTCTCCCTTTTTTTTAATTTTAGTTTTTTTTTTTTTCTCTTGAGGATTTGAATAGAAGATTGATCCTTTTCAAAAAAATTACAACAATTATAAGACTTCAGTTAGGCCAGGGGAGGCGCGGTAGCTGAGCGGTAAAGCGCTTGGCTTCCGAACCGGGGGTCCCGGGTTCGAATCCTGGTGAAAACTTGGATTTTCAACTTCGGAATCTTTTGGCGCCTCTGAGTCCACCCAGCTCTAATGGGTGCCTGACATTAGTTGGGGAAAAGAAAAGGCGGTTGGTCGTTGTGCTGGCTACATGACACCCTCGTTAACCGTAGGTCACAAAAACAGATTAACTTTACATTACCACAAGGTCTGATAGGGGAACTAGTCAGGCCAGGTTCACATCTAACTTAACATTCACTTTCACCTATCCTTTGATCTGCTGGACCGTAGGGGCACTACACAAGATCTGTCAACCTTCTTTCTCCTTTCTTATCTCTCATTTGTCTTTGATATAATTTCATTCGGATGTTTTTTCTGAAAATATTGAAGCCTGCCTGGGTGGACCACTTCGGGGGCCGATTTTGAGTTTGTGTTTCCCCACAAATTGTCTTTGTAACCTTGTTAATTGTGTCTTAAGTCTAATTAGATACACGCTACACCATATACAAACATCAAATGCCACCACGTCATAAGGTTTTAATTTTAGACCGAATTTTGATTTTTATGAAGCAATTAAAGCGATTATCGTTTCAGTCAATATCTACTGAAATTCAAGAATCAACATGTTACATTGTATTTCTTTTTCCCCCTTATTTGTGTTTGAATACTGGAAATATAACTGTTATTTTTATTTAGCCATTAAAGTGAAAATCTACTAAGATTCAACTTAACTTGTGTTGTAAATCTTTTTCTCTCTGCGTTTGAATAATTGAAATCGAGTCAGTGTGCAATAAAATAAGTATCAACAAGTATTGGATAGATTATGTAGCAGGTGGCCCTAATAGTAGTTGGCTATACATGACTTACTTTAGCAGGTGGCCCCCAATAAAAGGAGGCCATGACTTGGAAGGGTGTCAGTCAACTGTATCAGTCACAAATCGGAAAGTTCAATGGGAACTAAAAACAAATCCAATTCCAACTCTCACGTCCATGGCATTGAAAGTGTCCCCATTACGATGTCTCTAGAATAACAAATCTCTATTGCACTGGACAGGGAACCCAGAGCGCAGACACAGCTTCACACACAAAAAAACCACTACATCCTCAAGCAGTGTCCAGGTCTTTATGCCATAACATCGAGAAATGTCCGTGTGGACAAATAGAGCGCCTAGACAGGTGTGTTGCTACACACACGCGCGGAATACATGCTGTGTGCGGGTCTCAAGACACCAACACAACGAGCTTAGAGGGTTTTTTTTTCTTTCCTTCAACAAAAAGTTCTATTTTTTCTCTCTCTTTCACACACTGTGACAACAAAATCCAATGATCCACATAGCAAAGGGCATGTCACCGCCTTTTTTTTTATCTTCAACTTTTTCTACTGAGGCGAGTGACTTCCCTTGTGTGAAATGATTAAATAGTTCGATCTCATTCACTTTATATATGCACACTCTCTAAGACGCATCGACGACACCGTCCGCCCCCCCCCCCCCCCCCCAACTCCCTTCACCTGCAACTTTGCGCAAGTCAAACAAAGCCAGGAGGCTGGTGCTCGGAAGATGGTGGTCACAGTGTTGCCAACTGCACAACAGGCATGCAGGTATTGATGATCAAAAACACAGCTAAAATGACGCAATTTAGCGACACGCCAAAGCCAGACAGAAGCGAACTCCAAAGGAAAGCAATAAAACGTATCAGATGCGCCAAAAAGAAAAAAAACTTGTTACAGCGAATTAAGAAAGTGTGTAATGCTTGGTGGTGTATGTGATTCGGACAGTTGTCAGTCATCTAGTGTTTTAACCCTTTCATCTCGTCGAACGAGGTTTGAACAAGGACAATAATAATCTTCATACTTGAACGTCCAAGAACTTCTCAAATAAACACAAAAGTTTCTCGAGTGGGTAATAAAACGTGTATTGTAACCGATTCCGGAGTAATTCGGTTGACAGTGTAAGGCAAATACTTATTTTCATCATTTGTTGAGTGCATCTTAGAGCAGGTTAGACTTCGTAACGACAAGAGAAAAAAAAAAGTATCGAACCCAGGAACTTAAGCTACTTCCGAGAACACTGCCATGTCATGTGGTTCGTAGAGGAATTCCGGGCACGGCTTCTCAGTCTCAATATGGCGCCGCGGGTGGAAACCATCGTTAGAGGAAACAAATAGTCCAATCTAGAAACAAAAACTGGAGCCTCGTTGTGGTGCCAAGGAACAAAGTTCTTTGCACTGATGGGGATGGAAGTCCTGCTTTATGACGGACACCCGCACAGCCGCACTGGTACAGACTCACAGAGTAAGAGAAAGTCGAGGTTTCCAAGTGGATTTTGAGTGTCCTTGGATATGATCTCCTGGCAACAAATTTGCATCTGTGTGAATTATTTTCAGACAGATCAAGGGTTCAAACATGCTGGAGAAAGGGCGCTTCCATTGGTCTGGACTATTCTAGAGTTTCAAGAGTCCAAGTCTCTTACAATTACAAATTCGGTAAAGGAATCAATACAATCCTTGAGAACATCAATCCACTTAGACCTGCTCCATTTTCAAAGCTGTATTTAGACCTTTGAAGTGTGTCATTTATATTAAATACATTAGTAACATGGATACCACTTGTGAACTCTCAAGATATATCCTTCGGTGTGTTAAATTCATGACACATCCGACTAAACAGTGTTCCATAATGGTAACACGGCCATATCTACAGACAGGAACAGCGAACACACCACCCTGGGCGAGTGAAAGCTGCGCATGTTGAAGCCTCTGAATCAGCAACCACTAACAGACAAGTTACGAGATCACATTTCTGCTCTTACAATTTGAATAATGAAGAGCTCTTCACATTAAGATTTGGTTTTGAAAAAGGGGGACCACGGCTAGTAGTGACCCTCCTGTCTGTTATCACTTCATTGATATATTACGACTATAAGAGTCCAAGACTATATAATGTAATAATGTAACAGAAAAGGGGGATGTGAGAGGAACATACACAAAAGCTACTTACAAAATACGAAACTATATCAGTGATATTGAGGGGGAAAAAACACAAATCTATTTAAATTCATATTGTCACAATTTTTTTTTTTTTTTTTAATTTACAAAACAAAAACGTTGGAACATTGGTTTTGTGATTTCTCCAATAGTGAAAATGAAAAGGATAACTATTACTAGCAAAATATGAAAAAATAAAGGCTTACAAAAGGTAAAACTCCACATATACAGCCATATCAAAACTGTAACATTTACTTCCCTTTTTTGATAACAAAAAAAAATTAACACTATTTAATTAACTAATTACTTAATGTTTTTTTTTTTATTGGGATTAATGAATAATTATGCGAAGTGTGAACAATGGAAAGTGTTCAATGAAAATGTGTACCAGACAGACAGACAGACAGGGTGAGCTGATAAAAGCTTTGATTTTCAAACAAAAGTTAACAAGTTATGCTGGAGGTAGGTTTCGCTGTAGATCTTTTGTTGTTCGAATGATAGCAGCACTTCTTCTGTTTCAGTTCGGTGAAAATCAAGCGTCCATTGACTGACGTTACATTTGCGTAACGTAACAAGTAACACGTTGTCGCACGTGACATGACATCAATGTCATGCTGGGAAGTGACATCCGGATTACAAGCCAATCAATCTTCATAATTCTCTCTCCCTCCCACCAGCGAGCTCTAGGTATAGGCTGGGAGGATAGGGGGAAACGTTACACAGTCGAGGTGAGAAAGGGGGGGGGGGGGGCAGCAAGAGGTAGGGTGAGGTACGGAGAGGTAGGGAGAGGTAAGAAGAGGTAGACCAGCGAGAAATGACTCATTCAGTCCAGCTTTTCATAAAACAACAAAACAAACTATTTGGCTGAAGTGGTCCCAGGCGACAAAAAAAAACAAAACAACCTGTAATTAATTGCGTTAATAAATGCTATCTTGTTACAAAGTAGAAGTGTTTCTTCTGACCCACGTGTTAATACATGTGTGTGTTATGTTAATCATGGAGCCATATGTTAATCATATTGTGACGGCAAAGAAGAAAGTGAAAATGTATTCCTGACGTTCGTCATTTCTTTCCATATGGAGTCTCTCTAAACAAAAAATAAAGCAGAGGCCTATTGTGTGTTTGTCCTACCATAGTGGAAAATAAAAAAGCTTTTTCCTGAGAGTGTACCTATTTATTTAGTTTTTGTCTTTTTTTTTTTACTTGACTAATAAGCTTCCTAAACTAGCGATGCACGAACTACGACCCGCGGACTGAATTCGGTTGGGTATCACTGTCCTAAAACAAGGATTATAACAGTCCAGACTAGTTTATTAAATAAAATTGAATAGCATTTTATTTTGGTTTTATCTTGAACACACTAACAAAATTTTACGTCCAAGTTGATTTTATATTTATAATTTGTTTAAAATAATATCGTTGCTTGTCATACAGAGAGGCAGAACAGGTTAGCACACAAGTCAACCTATCAAAAGGTTTCGTTTAAGAATCGAATAGAACAGGACATCTTTATAAAAAAAAATATTACAAAAAAGGTTACCAAAAAAACTTATTGATTTAACAGTTTACATGTAAATTCAGTTCATACGATTACATGTTGCATGTCACCCACGAAATAATCAAGTGCCTTTCCAACCGCAACGGTCTATTATTCCTGATCACAACCTGCGCTCTGAAGAAGTTGACCAAAAGAAAGTGGGCTTTCTCAAGTGTATACACACCCACTAACACAGATACGAGCACGCAGAAACTTGTTTATCAGCACAGTTACATTTTCCACTTTATTTCTTAATCGATGGACCCAGTATTGTTGTTCCCATCTACTCAACAGTGATCGATTATTGGGCTCACGTGCCCATTTGAAACGTGCAGTACCAAAAAGAATAAAGTCTCACAGTCTGTGTTAAAGATTACATTGACAGTCTCACAGTCTGTGTTAGAGATTACATTGACAGTCTCACAGTCTGTGTTAGAGATTACATTGACAGTCTCACAGTCTGTGTTAGAGATTACATTGACAGTCTCACAGTCTGTGTTAGAGATTACATTGACAGTCTCACAGTCTGTGTTAGAGATTACATTGACAGTCTCACAGTCTGTGTTAGAGATTACATTGATAGTCTCACAGTCTGTGTTAGAGATTACATTGACAGTCTCACAGTCTGTGTTAGATATTACATTGACAGAGATCTCAAATGACTTAGAGTCACTAAGCCCTGACTGTTGGGCTTGGTGGTTACAAAACTAAGTAGCACTCAACAAAAAAAACTAAACCTTACATCAGCGCTTCTCAACCTGCGCTATAACTGTCTCTACATCTAGAAATAGGAAGGGAAACGGCCAACAAAAGACAACGAAACAGAGTTCTCAAGCAGACAGAGAAGCGCATGTATGTGTGTACATGTCTTGTGAAAAGAAAAGGTGGAGGTATTGTAGATGGCTGCTTGGTGGTATGGTATGCGCTCTTGACTGTCGTCTCGATGGTTTCGGGTTCAAACTCTTGCCCACGCCCTCAACGCCAACCTGCGAGAGGTTTAGGCTAGGATTAAATAATCTTCCATTCTGAACGAACATTCGAAACACGTCAAACAACACAAATACAACTTTTAAAGAGTGTGTTTGGGTGAGTAGAGACCCGGCTCTACCATACAGCCACAACGTCAAAGTCTATAGCTTCTACTCAAACCTAATCTCATTATGTACTAGTCAAGTGGATCTGTCCTACTCCCAGGTTGTAGATCTTAGCACCTAATAAATCATGTTACGGACGTGTCAGTCGCAGTTAATTCTCATTGAGCATGCTTAAGTTTTTAGTTCATGGAAGCCATTGGGGCTGTAATAGAGCTAAAAATAGCTTTTACCTAAGACAAGGGAAGTAAGCATTTATAGTTCGACAAAAGTAATAACACTATGAAAAGCAGATTTGCTACTATATCGGGAGATGAAATAATTTGAAATAAGATTATACTGTTATTTGAGGTGTATCCCTCGACAAGATTTGATTGTTATTTGTTGTGTATCTCTCAATTCTCGTTTACGGCAGTGCGTTATTTAAAAAACTGAAGGTAAATAAATTAGACTATAAACGTTATCTCGTCAATCGTAAATAAGGTACAATGTATTGGTATAATATTAATCCAAAGGTCGAGTAATTAGTATGCAAACACCGAAGATCATATTTTGGTAGAACCTTCCTTTTTCCTTTTTGTTTAACTAAATAATAAAAATCCAACCCTCCAAGCGACATTTGCTGGTTTCTTCTTGGCAATGTAATATCACAAAACAATTAAACAAATTACTCCCTCTGCTTCTAGCAGCAAGTCGATCCCTGTAAGACAAGCTAAGACTTTGTGATCCTTTAAAACACTGTATCCGGTCCTGTCGAGATAAAAACCAGGTCAAATTATTTCCCTTTATCGATTAACAAACAGTCCCCCCCCCCCCCCCCCCCCCGGAGCATAAAGACGCAGACATTTCAAGAGGCAAACCCAAATAATTATCTAGGACACGACGTCTTCTTGCTAATACTACGTTTGGTCTTACAAAACCTGGAATCAGAATATGTAAACTTGACATGTTTTCAACCCCCGCTAGTTTTTGTCCAAAACTAAATATAAACTGTCTAAAGTAGCTATATTTAAAATGTTTGAAATAAAAATGAGTCTTCCCTATACCCTTAAGAAGTCTTTAAAATTGCCTTAACAGGCTTGTATTTGAAAGATGCGAGGGGGGAAGTTTTATCAATGCGAATGTATTTAATTTAGTTTGTACTAAATGATAAAATGATATCTTCAGGACTGGAGCATTTAAGATTAATCAGTTTGACAACCTGTGAAAGTCATAGCCACAGGTGTTGAAAGGGCGATAACTTGGGGAAGAAGGTTGTGAGGGGGGGGGGGGGGGGGGAGATGTACTGTCCTCAACTAGACCTAACAACCTGCAACTTTTGAAAATTATCAACAAGTAAACATTACAAAAAAACCAACTCTTCCCAAACCCCTCCCCCCTTTTTTTTTTTCTCGCGTCATTCTTTTTTTAAATCTTAAAACTTTCTAGGTCACCTGTCAAGGACCCTGGGAGACTTTCAATAATAGGCGCGATGACTCATGGGCTTACTGTATGACCCTGGATGACCTAGGGTAGGATAGCGCGAGGGAGGGTAGGATAGCGCGAGGGAGGGTGGAGAGAGGCGCTGATTGGTTGTAGAAGTATGTCACGTCACATGCAAGGTCATCCAGCAGGTTTCTTGCAGAAGCTCCAGTGTAGAATCAGGCGCTGGATGATTTGATTCATGTTTTCATTGGGATTTTTATTCATAATAATTATAATTTGAAAATAACAGTCTTTAAAAGTTCAACTGTCTCTGGTACAAACTAATATTTCATTAAATGCCTCTCCCTCTCTCTATTTTTTTTTCAGTGTGTGTGTGTGTGTGTGTGCATGTTGGAATCGTGGTTACAACATAAGTACAGAACAAAAGAATGACAGAAGCTTTAATTACGAAAGCTCGTAGGTGGATAATGGTGGTGGTGGGGGGAGGGTATTAAGGAAACATATCGTTGCTCTAACCTCAATAGCATTCCCACCACTGACCATGGATTGACAACTATGAGACTGTTATCTGTATAGTCATAGGACCATGTAAGAGATGAGCTAAATTAATCCATCAATAGTTGTGGGACGTATTTCAAGCACGACCAACTGAAGAAAGACAGCACAAACACTATCTTTTTATTTCTAAGGAGGCCGCTTCAAGCTCTCTTAACTATTACAAGTAGTTTGAATCTGGTTTCACTTTTGACATATCCGAAAAACTTTGACACCTAGCCTCAGTCCTTCAGCCATTTTCATGAAATTTAAACTAAAGGGCCATTACCAGTTTTGTTTTTAAAGGTGGCACTTTTACAAGGGTTACATATTTAGCAGTATGACATTTTAGACCCTACTTTGCAACTATTACTTTTCTTCCCAATTAATTCTTATAGCAGCGATTCTCAAAATCGTTAATGGAAGCACAATATGGGCGACATTTTACATGTGACGTTTTACATTGCCCATGTTTAAATGTTGTTGTTTTTTTACACTTGTCAACTTTTTTCCCTTTGAGTTCATCGCGAATTCGCTTTATATGAGCTAAATACATCTCCAACCATGTAGCAAACAAAAACTTTAAGGCACTCTGCTACAACGTTGTAGCACCCAAATGAACGATTGGCTACTTTTTAAAAAATCTGGCAATGAATTCATCTTCTGGCACCATTGTGAGGATCATTTCAATGTCATGTGAGATCTTCTTCGTTTTATTATTATTAAGTTTATATTTTGTAATTTTAAGATACCAAATGTGGTCGTTGTGTTTGGATGCAAATTCAAGGTAGACAACTTCATAGGTTTCATCA